TCCGAAATCCCCAACACTTCCTCCCTCCGGGGGATTTGATCCCCCATGGCCACCGCTAACAGCATCATCGTGCTGGATGATGATGACGAAGATGAAGCAGCTGCTCTGCCAGGGCCCTCCCACCCACCCCCCAATCCGGCCTCACCCAGGGCAGAAGCCCCTGGCTCCTCCCAGCCCCACGGGGCTGGAGGAAGCAGTAGTTCGGGCGGCAAGAAATGCTACAAGTTGGAGAATGAGAAGCTGTTTGAAGAGGTGAGCTTTAGGGGAGAAGATTCTTGTACCCCAGGGAGGGGGATGGCTGACTGGCTCTCCTGTCCTTTCTTCCCCACTAACCCCACCTCGCCTTCTTTCTCTCAATCCCATCCCTTGTCTCTTTCCCCCTCCCTTTTTCTCCTGAACCTTCCAGTTCCTTGAACTGTGTAAGACGCAGACGGCGGACCACCCTGAGGTGGTCCCGTTCCTCTATAACCGGCAGCAGCGGGCCCACTCTCTGTTTTTGGCCTCGGCGGAGTTCTGCAACATCCTCTCTCGGGTCCTCTCTCGGGCCCAGAGCCGGCCAGCTAAGCTCTATGTCTACATTAATGAGCTCTGCACTGTTCTCAAGGCCCACTCAGCCAAGAAGAAGCTGAACCTGGCCCCTGCTGCCACCACCTCTAGTGAGCCCTCTGGGAATAACCCTCCCGCAGACCCCTCCTCGGACCCCACAAGTGCTGAGACCACTGCCTCTGAGGCCCCAAGGACCCATGGTTCCCGGCGGCAGATCCAGCGCTTGGAGCAGCTGCTGGCACTCTACGTGGCAGAGATCCGGCGGCTGCAGGAAAAGGAGTTGGATCTCTCAGAATTGGATGACCCAGACTCCACTTACCTGCAGGAGGCGAGGTTGAAGCGTAAGCTGATCCGCCTCTTTGGGCGGCTGTGTGAGCTGAAAGACTGCTCTTCACTGACAGGCCGGGTCATAGAGCAGCGCATCCCCTACCGTGGTACCCGCTACCCAGAGGTCAACAGGCGCATTGAGCGGCTCATCAACAAGCCAGGGCCTGATACCTTCCCTGACTATGGAGACGTACTGCGGGCTGTAGAGAAGGCAGCTGCTCGGCACAGCCTTGGCCTCCCCCGACAGCAGCTCCAGCTCATGGCTCAGGATGCCTTCCGAGATGTGGGCATCAGGTTACAGGAGCGTCGCCACCTTGATCTCATCTACAACTTTGGCTGTCACCTCACAGATGACTATAGGCCAGGTAGGCATTAGTGAGATGCTCCTTGGTAACCCTCATTCGTCAGGTGTGTGGTGCAGGGGGTGTCTCTCTAGTCCCTTCTTCTAGGGTTCTGGGTGAGTACACTGACTTTATATCTTCCCACATAGGCATTGATCCCGCACTGTCAGATCCTGCCCTGGCTCGGCGCCTGCGGGAGAACCGGAGCTTGGCTATGAGCCGGCTGGATGAGGTCATCTCTAAGTATGCAATGATGCAAGACAAGAGCGAGGAGGGCGAGAGACAGAAGAGAAGAGCGCGGCTCCCCCAAGCCACCTCTTCCCACTCTGCAGACCCCTCCAAAGCCTCCTTGGATTCTGGTGAGGTATGGAAGGGAATACACCCTTCAGAGAGACCTTGTCCTTCCACTGCACTGGCCAGGCGGGAGTACGTGGTGACTGATCATGGCGTGTGCAGAGGAACGCAAGAAGCAGCCCCTCTGGGGCAAGGGATTCCTTAGAGAAACTCCTTTGTCCCCTGCAGGGCCCTAGTGGGATGGCATCCCAGGAGTGCCCTACCACCTCCAAGGCTGAGACCGATGATGAAGATGAGGAAAGTGATGAAGAGGAGGAGGAAGAGGAGGGAGAGGAAGATGAGGAGGAGGAAGACGAGGAGGCCACAGATTCCGAAGAAGAGGATCTGGAACAGATGCAGGAAGGTCAGGGGGACGATGAAGAGGAGGAGGAGGAGGAGGAGGAGGAGGAGGAGGAGGAAGCAGCAGGTATGTCAAGGAAACAGTCTTCTCGTCGGTTCCGTCTACTCTGTTGGGCATGAGCCCCCTGTTTGAGATCCTTCCCTTCTTCCTCTTACTCCTAGTGACCTCTCAGCAGTTTTCTTTCCCCTAGTTCTTTTGCTACCCCTCCCCTCTTTTCTTCTTTTCCAGGGAAGGATGGAGATAAGAGCCCCATGTCCCCACTACAGATCTCCACTGAAAAGAACCTGGAACCTCGCAAAGGGATCAGCGGGTCGTTGGGGGAGCAGCAAAACAAAGGACTCACAGTGTCACCATCTTCACTGGCAGAAGAGCCCCCGGCCCCCTCCAGCGTAGTTGCTGAAAGCAGTGGAGAGCACCTCGAGGAATTGCCCCTGGAGGAAGAGAGCCCTATGTCTCAGCTCTTTGAGCTAGAGATTGAAGCCTTGCCTCTGGATACTACTCCTTCCCCTGAGGAGAGGGACGTTTCCTCTTCCAGGAAGCAATCAGAAGACCCCCTCACCACTGTCTTGGAGAATGGAGCAGCCATGGTCACCTCCACTTCCTTCAACGGAGGCGTCTCTCCTCACACCTGGGGAGATTCCAGTCCTCCCCACAAGAAATCTCGGAAGGAGAAGCAAACAGAAGCCGGGCCATTAGGAAAGAGGTAACAGCAATAAGGAGGAGAAAGAGGGAAGCCAAGGAGGGACTGCGGGGGCTTTCTGAGAGGAATACTGTGGAACGGAGTCTGCGGGGAGAAACTGGAGCTCCGCCTCCATCCTCAGTCTCCACATACCCTTCCACCCACATATGTTTCTGTCTCTAGCTATGTGGAAAGGCAAAGGGCAGTGCATGAGAAGACACATACTCTGCCCAGCCCGCCTTCCCCCTTGGCTTCCATGGCTCCGGTTGCCGATTCCTCCACGAGGGTGGATTCTCCTAGCCACGGCCTGGTGACCAGCTCCCTCTGTAGCCCATTTCCAGCCCGGTTGTCCCACACCCCACAATCACAACCCTCCAGGCCTGGTACTTTTAAGGTAAGAGGGGGAGGCTGTGTTTCCTGACTTCATTCTCTTTCATTGTTCAGTTTGGGGTAATCTGTCTGCTGCACTCATCACCTCCTCTCTCTTCCCACCCCAGTTTTTGATCTCTGATAAGTCCTTCCCTTGGCTTCTCATCCGCTGTGTTCCAGACCTCTCTGACTCTGTATCTCACTCCCCTGCAGATGAGTGTGGCCACACAGTGCGATCCAGAGGAGATCATCGTGCTCTCAGACTCTGATTAACTGCCTCCCCCTCCTCCCTGCCTCCAAAATGTTTTGGGATAGTATTTGGAGGACGGTGGGAAGCAGACGACTGAGGAAGGGATGGACTGAGCTAATCGCCTTTTGGTGGTTTCTTTAAAAAAAAAAAAAAAAAAAGCTTAAGTTTTACACAGAAACATTAATAAACAATAAAGTTCTTTTCTTATTGTATCCCTGTCTTTTCCTTGTCCTGCTCTCACCAGCTGGTGATTGGCACGAGCTGTTCTGTGGCTCAGGGTTAGCCGTGCCCCTGGGATAGCCCTGGATCTGCACTTTCCAGCTGCCTTCAGCACGCCTCTCGCGGAGTTTTTCTCGCCCTCAGGCCTTCTCCTTGCCCTCTGCCAGGCGCTGAAAAAATGTACTTCAGCCTCCTGAACGCGCTTTACTTTCTCACTTCGAGCGGTAGCAGTAAAAAGGCCAATCACGGGCCGACTCAAGGTTATTTAGCCAATCCAGGCCCGGAGGTAGGGGGCGGGGTTTCAGGGGGACTGTCAGAAGCTGGGAGACTGGGGCGATTAGATCCCGCAAACCCGCTAATGGTCACAGCTCAGGGGCGGAGCCCAGGCAGCGACGGCCTAGACCCATCGCCAGTGGGAAGAGGCTGGCTTACCGAATTAAAGGGGAATGAGAGCTTCGGCCGAACCGAGTCCTGCGTCCTCAGCGGCGGAAAGAGACCTGGTACCCTTAAGGTGGAAGGAAGCAGCTGTTTTTTAAAGGAGAAGTGGCCGAGTCGGCCGAGTATTGCCCAGCGGGTCGGGCGGGGTTCCCGCCTGTGCCTTTAAAGCCTGAGGGACGGGAGGCGGAGCGGAGGCGGAGGGCGGAGGGAGTCGGCGCAAGATGGCGGCGGGAGGGGCCCAGGCTGCGGCTCTGGCCGCCGACTGAGGGGCGGGGGGGGCCCGGGGGCGCGCGGCCCGGTAAGCGGGGACGCGCGGGGTTGGGGGGCGCCTTCCGGGTGGGAGAGGAGGTCGAAGTAGCGCTTGGGGCGGAGCAGAAGGGGGCGGGGTCTGATGTGGGCGGGGTAGATAATGGGCGGGGCCCAAGAGCTATGGGCGGGTCTTGAGGTGGGCGGGTCTTGAGGTGGGCGGGCCCTAAATGGGCGGGGTTAGGGATAACGGGGCAAGGTGCGTGGCCAGCGAGAGCCGTGGGTGGCGGGGGCACGGCCTAAAGGGAAGTGGAGAGAGCGGTGGTTTTCAACACCAGAGCCAACCTGCCCCCTCCCAAGAAAAGGGTACAAAACCCCAGAAAGGTAAATTTTGGAAAGTCAGGCTCTCAGGCAAATGGGAATTTCCGAGGGGAGGCACCCCACTCCCCAAGAGCACCTTATTTCTGTAACGTCCAAGGAAAGAGCACTGGACTTGGAGTTAGGACACCTGCGTTTGTGGGTGCTGCCACTTAATGGTGTAACCTTGGATAATCTCTTAATCTTTATGAGCCTCAGTTTCCTTATCTGTCAAATGGGGGTTGAAAGGAATACCTACCTTATAGTGTCACTGTGGGGAGTTACTCAGATAATGTGTGAACATGTTTTTAAACTGTAAAGGGCTGTGTCATTATGGGTTGTTATCATTCTTCTCTCTTTTTTTCCAGAGACCCCCCCCCCCGGCCGCCCTCCTCCTTCCCTTGTTCCTGGGGCTGGGGGGGTACCCCTTCCCTCCACACCATGGAGCCATCTCCTCTGTCTCCCAGCGGGGCAGCACTCCCCCTGCCTCTATCGCTGGCCCCACCACCGCTGCCCCTGCCTGCAGCGGCAGTAGTGCACGTGTCCTTCCCCGAGGTGACCAGTGCCCTCTTGGAGTCTCTCAATCAGCAGCGGCTGCAGGGCCAGCTCTGTGATGTGTCCATCCGAGTGCAGGGACGGGAGTTCAGGGCTCATCGTGCTGTCCTGGCTGCCTCTTCCCCTTACTTCCACGACCAGGTCCTACTCAAGGGCATGACCTCCATCTCGCTGCCCAGCGTCATGGACCCAGGCGCCTTCGAGACTGTCTTGGCTTCAGCTTATACTGGCCGCCTCAGCATGGCCGCTGCTGACATTGTCAACTTCCTCACAGTGGGGTCTGTGCTCCAAATGTGGCACATCGTGGATAAGTGCACTGAACTCCTCCGAGAGGGCCGGGCCTCAGCCACCACCACCACCATCACCACTGCTGAAGCCACATCGGTCACTGTCCCTGGTGCTGGGGTCACCTCAGGGAGTGGGAGCACCGTGGCCCCTGCCACTGTGGGATCCATACGCTTCCATGCCTCCAGCCGGGCCAGTGAGAATCAGTCCCCCAGCAGCAGCAACTATTTCAGCCCTCGGGAGTCCACTGATTTCTCATCTTCCTCCCAGGAGGCTTTTGCAGCTTCTGCAGTGGGCAGTAGGGAGCGTCAAGGAGGTGGCCCTGTATTCCCTGCCCCTGTGGTTGGCAGTGGGGGGGCTACCTCTGGGAAGCTGCTGCTGGAGGCAGATGAGCTGTGTGATGACGGTGGGGATGGGAGGGGTGCAGTGGTCCCTGGGGCTGGGCTCCGCCGGCCCACCTATGCACCCCCCAGCATTGTGCCGCAGAAACACTGGGTATATGTGAAACGGGGTGGAAACTGCCCAGCACCAGCGCCCCTTGTTCCCCAAGACCCAGACCTGGAAGAGGATGAGGAGGAGGAAGACTTGGTGTTGACCTGTGAGGATGATGAAGATGAAGAGCTGGGGGGTGGCTCCGGGGTGCCAGCAGGGGGAGGACCTGAGGCTACCCTTAGCATAAGTGATGTCCGGACCCTGTCTGAGCCTCCAGACAAGGGAGAGGAGCAGGTCAATTTCTGTGAGTCCTCCAATGACTTTGGCCCCTATGAAGGTGGGGGTCCTGGGGCAGGGCTTGATGATTCAGGGGGACCAACCCCTTCCTCCTATGCTCCCTCCCATCCTTCGAGGCCCCTGCTTCCACTGGACATGCAGGGCAACCAGCTCCTAGTCTTCCCATCCTCTTCCTCCTCCTCCTCACAGGCTCCAGGCCAGCCACCAGGGAACCAAGCTGAACATGGGGCAGTGACCCTGGGGAGCACATCGGCAGGGGCCCTGGGCATGCCGGGTGGCACCGGCGGGACTCCTGGAGGGACAGGCAGTGGGGATGGAAATAAGATCTTTCTGTGCCACTGCGGAAAGGCCTTCTCCCACAAGAGCATGCGAGATCGCCATGTGAACATGCACCTCAACCTGCGGCCCTTTGATTGCCCCGTGTGCAACAAAAAGTTCAAGATGAAGCATCATCTGACAGAGCACATGAAGACACACACAGGCCTCAAGCCCTACGAGTGCGGCGTCTGCGCCAAGAAGTTCATGTGGCGAGACAGTTTCATGCGCCACCGGGGACATTGTGAGCGCCGGCACCGCCTAGGCGGCGGGGGTGGGGCCGGACCCGGACCCGGAGGGACCACCGGGCCAGCCTTGCAGCCCAAGAGAGAGTCCCCCGGCGGCGGGGTCAGCGGCGACGAGGCGAGTGGGGCCACGCCCCCGTCCAGTCGGCGGGTCTGGTCCCCGCCCAGCGTCCACAAGGTGGAGATGGGCTTCAGTGGGGGCGGAGGAGCAAACTGAAGAGGCGAGCTACTGGGGGTAGCTTTGCGGGAAGAGGGATTAGGGATCACTAGCCAGGGGCGCTGTGGCCCGTAGGTGATCTCCCAACACACTTACTGTCTTCCTATCTCTATGGACTTGTATATATTCTGGAGAGGGAACCGCCTCGCACCATGGGCCACCCCTTTCTACTCCTCAGCCCCTCCTCCCTAAAGTATCACCGGAACTCAGCCCTTCCTTCCCTTCAGATGGGTACACTGAAGCCCCAGCTCCCGAGTAGGGCGCAAGTGGTGGTGGGAGGAGGGAGGGAGGGAGAGCGGGCTTGCTGAGCATCCTGGAGTCACTGGGTCGAGGGTCAGGTGGTTGTAGTCTATACCTGAAGTCTGTGTTTGCATAGTTGTGGGGACCAGGCCTTTGAGCCCCACCCTTGTCCTAGAACATACCCTGCCCCCCAAAAGGATGTGCCCCTTATTTCTACCCTAATCCCTCTTCCTCCACCTTGGGGGTCCCCCAACTCCATTCTCACTGGGGAGTGGGGGAGTGGAGACAAGGAAGGAGTAAGTCGTAGGAGTACAAGGGTTTTATTTTAAATCTTATTTTTTTTAAACGGTGATTAAAATATTTATTGGTCATTTCATTTGCCTTTCCGACAACCCCTATGTGTTTGCTGGGGACCTGGCCCAGGTTGGGGAAAGTGGAGTAAGGGTTCTCAGGGAAGTGGATTCGGGGTTGGGGTGGACAGGAGGGGGTGCCTCTGGTGTGGGAAGGCTCCCGGACTCTGTGGTGCTGGGTGGTTCAGGAGGGCTGGGCGGGGCTGAGTTCCCCAGATCAGAACTGGAGTGGATGTTCCGGGATCCCTGCCCAGCCGGCGGAGAAAGCACCTGCCTCCCCCGAGCCTTCCCCTAACCGGAGCGGAGATTTCCTCCGCCCCTCCTGTCGGCCTTTGGAGGAAAGTGAAAGTGAAAGCGGGAAGAGGCGGCCTCGGAGCTGAGAAGATCGCGGCGCCATGAAGCCTCTGTCCCTGCTCCTCGCTGTGGCTCTGGGTGAGCGAACCCCGCGACTCTTAGCCCAGGGAAGCGGTGGGAGGTGACTGCCACCACGTCTGGGGGTGGGGTGGAGGAGGTCGGGTCGCCTGACGTTGGGGCCGTCCCCTCACTCGCGCCCCTCCCCCCCCAGGCACGGCGACCGCCGTCTCGGCGGGACCCGCAGTGATAGAGTGCTGGTTCGTGGAGGATGCGGGCGGGAGCCGGTTGTCCAAGAAACCCGCTGCACTGCTGCTGCGCCAGAGCTCGGAGAGCCCACCTCCCCGGCCGGACCTCGACCCAGAGCGCTACCTCAAAGTGCACGGTGAGTCATGCCGGACTCGCTCCCAACTCTGTCGCCTCCACCGAAACCCCCTGCTCTTTAGGTCTCACAGTGACCTCGGGCCTCAGTTTCCCCTTCTGTAAAATGAAACTGGATCACTTTTAAATCTCTCGTTACCGGGTAGTCTGTACCTTTAAAATTCCCTGGACGCTGCCCTCCCCTCCTCTTTCCTGGCGGAGATTCTACGGCAGCAACTTCTCTCTCTGTGCTCACAGACCCCGCGGGCACCCTCCTGGCCGCCTTAAGGCGATACCCGCGGGACGCCCCCGCGCCACGCTGCGAAATGAGCCACTACGTCCCGCTTCCTGCCTCGGCGATCTGGGTCAGCGGCTTGACCCCGGAGCAGAGCTGCCCGCGGGCCCTGGATGGGAGTTGGCTCATGGTCAGCATGTCCAGCCCGGTCCTCAGCCTCTCCAGCCTCCTTCGACCACAGTCCGAGCCTCAACCGGAGCCTGCTCTCATCACCATGGCAACAGGTAGCTACCGAGGGGAAGTAGAGATAAACGGCTAGATTCTAAGGGTCCAGATCAGCCGTTAACTCGCTATGTGGACTTGAGCGAGTCATTTCCCTAGTCGGGTCTCAGTTTCTTTATTTATAAATCGAGGCAGTTCAGCTAAAGTTAAGATGTCTCTACCGCTTCTTCTAGTCCCAGCCTAGTTTAAACAAAAGTGCGGTTTGGGGCGGGGCTTTGGAGCCAGGCGGGGGTTCCTGACACCCGACCTTAAGAAATTCGCTAGGCGACGGAGTTGGGAGGGTCTCAGAAACAGGAACTTTTGCACATTTCCTCCTAGATCTTGCTAGGCTCCCCCACATTTGCGGTTCACCCAGTTTAAAAAAACAGCCTTCGCGCCCCACCCGCGCCCACATCCGGCACTGCGGCAACCAGCAAAGCACAGGCTTTTGAGCTCTAGCGCGTCGACCTCCCTTGACAGCCCCTTCCCTATGGCGCGTGATGATGCCCTGACTCTGTGGTCACCGAATGGTGGGCTTGAGTGCGTGGAAGGGAAGCGGCAGGAGATCTAATGGTTCCCGCTGCAAGGGCCACTTACTGCATTGTGTGATGTGGTTTGAGGCCCAGGGGTCTGGCACCTTGCTGGGCTGGGGCGCAGGGAGGGAGTGGGCCGATAAAGCAAGAATGGGGAAGATATGACTGGGATTTGGGATTTCTCGGAGGTCTTCTCGGGAGGGTGGGTAGGATATTAACAGAGTCCTCGGCTTCCTTCAGTCTTGTGCGATTTTATGGAAACAATACAGCCTGACCGGCTGGTCAACCCCAGCCCAGCCCTACACCCTCCCTTCCCCAGTACCTTCTCCCTGCCACCCTCATCACTGAGAGAAAATGACCCACAGGGCTCAGCACCCACCCTGAAACCCTCACATCTGCCTACACCTCCATCCTTAGTCCCCAGACCTCGCCGTGGGCAGGGGCAGAGGCAAACTGCTCCTTGTGGGGACAGTAGCTCTCTCTAGTGGGTAGGAATATTTCCCAGGCTGTTGGCTTCACAAGGTGGGGTGAGGATGTCCTTTTCTCTCTGAATCTGCTTTTCCAACTGTAAAATGTGGATGGTTATTTCCCATCTGCCTTCCCATTGTTGTAACGATCAAACGAGACACTTTGTTAATTTATTCACTGATTAAATATTTATTATCACCAAGAATAAATTAGGGCCCAGTAGTTCTCAGTCCAGGCTGCAAATAAGAATCCTTTTGGAGGTTATACTGAAATCCAAGTTTTACTCCAGATGAATTAAATCAGAACCTCTGGGTAGCCTTGGGTACTTTTAAGGGTCACAAAGGTGATCGGATGTAGAGTCTACTCTCAGGAAGGTTCCCATCAGATTTGCCATGGGTAATTGTAGAGTAGAAAGTGACTTGGACCGTAAAAGAAGTGCAGATAGGGAGCCATGGGTGTGTGCCCAGGAGAGAAAATTATTGCATCTAACCCACCACCAGGGGTGAAAACTAGTTGCTGTGCTCAGTCCTCCTTTTCAAGCATTCCTACTTGATTAGGGATTTAAGAATATGAAAGTTGTTGTTTCAATGTAAAGTTAAAAATGAACTCTTTCCAGGGTCACAGATCATCAGTAATTTTGCTAGTATGCATTTATACTTTATTTCTTACCAAATTAGTTGTCAAATACTCTAAAATGTTTCTTGAGAAATATACTTTCGTAATATACTTGTGTGTATAGTATTTAATTCTCATCATTCTTTTAAAATTGGTATAGAAAGTTTCAATGACACACTAAAGTAGAGAACAGTAAACTGAACCCCCCATATATCCATTATCTACTTGTATAGTTATTACATTTTACCAAATTGTTTTACCTATCCTCCCCCAAACTTCTATTCTTTTTTGGAAGTATTTTTAAGTATATCCCATCGTATTATTTTACTCATAAGTACTTCAGTAAGCATCTCTATCATATAAGGACTTTAACAACCCCCCCCACACAATAGCATTATCATACCTAACAAAACAAACAATAATTCCTTAGTATCATTTAACTCCTGGCTCATATTAAATTTCTCCCAATTGTCTCAATGATGTTATTTTACAGTCTGTTTGCTTCAATCAGGATAAAAAAGAGGTCTATATATTCTATTTGGTTGTTGCAGCTGCTTGGGCTGCCAAAACAAAATATCATAAACCAGGGGGCTTAAACAACAGGAATTTATTTTCTCACAGTTCTGGAGGCTAGAAGTCCAAGATCAAGTCCAAGATCAAGGTGCTAGCAGGGCTGTTGTGTGGTGAGAACTCTCCCCTTGTGGTTGCAGATGGCCGCCTTCTGGCTGTGTCCCCACGTGGAGGGGAGAGAGCTGCGGTGTTTCTTCCTCTTCTTATAAGGGCACCAGCTCTATCAGGTTAGGGCCTACCTTTATGACCTCATTAACTTTATCACCTCCTCCTAGTCCCTATCTCCAAATACAGTCACATTGTGGGTTAAGGCTTCAACATTTGAATTGAGGGGGTTGGGGGAGGGAGAACCACAGACATTCAGTCTATAACAGTTTTGTCTCTCTTTTTAAAAAAATTTATTGATTTTTGGTTGCCTTGGGTCTTCGTTGCTGCATGCGGGCTTTCTCTAGTTGCAGTGAGTGGGGGCTACTCTTCATTGCGGTGTACGCGCTTCTCGTTGCGGTGGCTTCTCTTGTGGAGCACAGGCTCTAGGCGCGCGGGCTTCAGTAGTTGTGGCACGCGGGCTTCAGTAGTTGTGGCTCGCAGTATCTAGAGTGCAGGCTCAGTAGTTGTGGCACACGGGCTTAGTTGCTCCGCGGCATGTGGGATCTTCCTGGACCAGGGATCGAACCCTTGTCCCCTGAATTGACAGGCGGATTCTTAACCACTGCGCCACCAGGGAGGTCCCAGTTTTGTCTCTTAAGTCTCTTTTATTTGTAATTGCCCCACCCCTTTAAATGCTATTGATTTGTCATTTGTTCTGTAGAAGTTCCCACATTCTATATTTGGCCAATTGTTTCCTCATCCTGTCATTTCCCTTGTTCCTTTTCCCTCCATATTTCCTATAAATTGGTAGTTAGAGCTAGAGGCTTGATTAGATTTGGGTTTAAATTTTTTCAGTAATATATATATATATATATATATATATTTTGCAGTACGCGGGCCTCTTACTGCTATGGCCTCTCCCGTTGCAGAGCACAGGCTCCAGACGTGCAGGCTCAGCGGACATGGCTCACAGGCCTAGCCGCTCCTCGGCATGTGGGATCTTCCCGGACCGGGGCACAAATCTGTGTCCCCTGCATCGGCAGGCGGAGTCTCAACCACTGTGCCACCAGGGAAGCCCCAGTAATATTTTATAATAGTTTTTACCATTCACTTTTTAACAGAAAAGCATAAGCCTATATGATACAAGCTGCAAAACAGGTAGAAATTTCCTTACCAACAGGTTCTGGCCCTGTTGTGTTTACATTTGTATATTTACAGAGTCCAGGTTGTGGGATGCAGGTCTAAAATTGCTTCATAAACCCATATTAAAGAGCACTGTTAGCTTAAGGTTGAACTATAAAACCTTTAGGTTTTGTTTATTAATCCTACAGATTGATTCTTACAATTCAAAACTGTATTTTTGGGTTTTAATAAACTAAATGAAATTGCTTACTTTTTTTTACTCTATTGAACAAAAATAATCCCCTGAAGTTCAGAGAAGTTTAACTTTATAGGCCTTAGAAGCTAGGATTAAAAATTACACAAAAATAGGGAATTCCCTGGCAGTCTAGTGGTTAGGACTCTACTCTTTCACTGTTGAGGGCCTGGGGTTCAATCTCTGGTTGGGGAGTTAAGATCCCGTAAGCCCCGTGGCATGGCCAAAAAAAGAAAAAAGAAAAAAAATTACATAAAAATAACCACAAGAGGCTTACCTGGTGGCGCAGTGGTTGAGGGTCAGCCTGCCGATGCAGGGGACACGGGTTCGTGCCCCGGTCCGGGAGGATCCCACATGCCGCGGAGCGGCTGTGCCCGTGAGCCATGGCCGCTGAGCCTGCGCGTCCGGAGCCTGTGCTCCACAACGGGAGAGGCCACAGCAGTGAGAGGCCCGCGTACCGCAAAAGAAAAAAAATAAATAACCACAAGAGAAAAAAATTACTTCTACCTGGGAGACCCAGACATTTCTGGCAGTGGAACAGATCTGAAGGACATGAAGTAGTTAGATGCTGGAAAAAATGGGGGAGGGACATTAGAAACTGAAGGAACCAAAGCAAAGAAAAGCCCAGGGACGAGAGTTTCTACTGGTCGCAAGAAAGGGATTCTATGTGGCTGGTTCTTAGGGTGCAAGAGAAGTCTGGAAAGATGGGTTGGGGGCTGGATTACCAAGTACCCTGAAAGCTGGAGTTTATAAATGATAGTGAACCATCAGGAGTTTTGTGTGTGTGTTGTGTGTGTGTGTGTGCCATTTTTCCAAAAGCCTGTTATTTTACTTGATTCCTACAAAAGGTAGGCAAGGATTAGATCATTGGACTAATGGGGAAAATAGAGATTAAGTCCTTTTCCCAAGATACCCAGCAAGTCCATCATGATGATGATGACAGTAATGAAAATAGTAACAGCTAAGCATTTTCTATATGCCAGCTCCTGTTCTAAGCACTTTATAGGCATAATCTTATTTATTCCTCTCAACAACTGGAAGAACTAGGTACTGATGTTATTCCCATGTCACAGATGAAAATATATGAGACACAGAGAAGTTAGGTAATTTGCCCAGGGACATACAACTTGTAAGAAGCAGGGCTAGGACTTGAACCCGGGCCATCTAGCTCCAGCGTGTGCCTTTAGTTGCTGGCTTCCTAGGTAGCTGGGATTTTTAAACAGGCAAGTGCCCAGATCAGACTTGTAGCCATGCTATTTGGTTTCAGTGTGGAGGATGAAATGAAAGGGAGAGAGATACTGATAGAGGATAGGGAGACCTGAGAGGAGGCTGTTGTAATTGTCCAAACGTATATTGATAAGAACTTGAGTAGGAAACATGTAAGATCTATTTGGGAGACAGAATTAGGGCCTGGTGGGGAGAGCACATAGCACATTATATTTGGCAATCTGTCTCCTACACAATTTGAGGGCAGGGGCTGCCTGTCTTATTTACCACTCTCGTCAACCGTGAACATCCTAGGTGCTCAATAAATACTAGTTGAATGAATTAATTAGAAGAAGGAGTCTTAGGGACTCCAAATGCTTGCCTTTAGTGCCTGGGGGCTGGTGGTGATCACTGGTCAAGGCAGGGAAGATGGGCATTGGAGCCGAGTGGGGAAATGTTCTAGAGATGCTATTGAGTTGGGGCACGTTACATTTGTCTGGCAGATGGTTGGCTGTAATCACAGCAAACACTTTTGTAGTCATACTGTGTTCCAGGCACTGTTCTAAGCAGCTTTCATACATAGGTGTCTTTGTTATCCAGAATCAGGAACTGCATACATCTGAGTAGCAGGTGTTAAATGATTTAACCTTCACTACAACCCCATGGGATAGGTACTATCATCATTATTATCCCTATTTAGGAGATTCAGAAACTGAAGAGTAGAGTAACTGTTCCAAGGCCATATAAATAGCTGCAGAGTGGGGATTAACCAGGGCAGCCAGGCTCCAGGCACTCAACCAGCACGTACTGCCTCAGTAGATCACAGATGTCTGTGTTCAGGTCTAGTCTAGAGCCAGAACCTTCCAGAGTCAGTAAATACTCTGCATAGCACCATAGGGTTGACAGTCATGAGTCATCACTTCTTCACCAGCAAACCAAGAAGGTCCTGGCTCTTCAAAGGTGGGCGTGGAGGCTGGTGGGCTGGTTCAGGTTGTGTCAGGGCACACTCAGATCCTGCTGACCCCAGAGCTGGTGCAGCACGGGCTGTGTGTTCCGAGCAGCCTTCAAGGGCTGTACCCACTCACTGCCTCTATTCACCGTGAGACCTCTCTGCTCACTCTGAGTCTCACTGGGTCCCACCCAGTCCCAGGGCAAAGGGGATTTGCAGGGAGGGCTGGGAGATGGTGAGTGTCAGAAGGGAGGTGTCCTCAGAGGGGTGGGTAAATTAGAGTCGAGGTCCCCCCCCGTAACTCCATTTCTCTATTTTTTTCTCTTTCTTCCTCTCCCCCTCCCCACCTTCCTCTCCTCATCTTCCCCAGCTGTGCTGACTGTCCTCACTCACACCCCCACCCCTCGCATCCGAATGGGACAAGATGCCCTGCTGGACTTGAGCTTTGCCTACACGCCCCCCACCCCCAAGGCTGCTACCTCTCTGGCCCCAGGTCCCCCTCCCTTTGGGCTGGAATGGCGACGCCAGCACCTGGGTAAGGGGCACCTGATGCTGGCTGCGACTCCTGGGCTGAGTGGGCAAATGCCAGCTGCCCGAGAGGGGGCGGTGGCATTTGCCGCTTGGGATGATGATGAGCCCTTGGGACCATGGACCGGAAATGGGACCTTCTGGCTGCCTGCAGTGCAGCCCTTCCAGGAGGGCACCTATCTGGCTACTGTACACCTGCCATACCTACAAGGGCAGACCACCCTGGAGCTTGCCGTACTGAGTGAGTGAGGGGACAGGGGTCTCTGTGGGTAGAGGGTGATCACTGGGATTATGGGGACACCATGATGGGGGAAGGATGGTGGAGAAAAGGGGCTGGGTGAGTAGAGGGAGACAGATTGGGGGCCCCTGAGAGTCAGGGGGGCAATGGGTAGAGGGTCCCTGGGAATCTGAGCGGCTTTGGGAGGAAGGTTCCCAAATCTGAGGGAGTTGGGGTCCCTGAGAATGGGGGCTTTGGCATGGAGATTCCTGTGAAACACCAATGGAGAGATGGCGGGTTCCCCATCCTGGGAGGAGAAAACCCAAACCCCTCAGTATTGGGGAAGCCAGAGGGCACACTGAGGGCCTCTGAGAGAGGACAGTGTAGATTTATTCCCTCATGCTGCTTTCTTACTCTCTCCCCAGAGCCCCCCAAGGTGACCCTGACGCCAGCACCTCTTATATGGGCTGCCCCCAGGGAGGCACCCCCAGAGCTGCTCTGCCTCGTGTCCCACTTCTACCCCTCCGAGGGCCTGGAGGTGGAGTGGGAGCTCTGGGGTGGCCCAGAGGGTCGCTTTCAGAAGGCTGAGGGGCAGAGGTGGCTCTCCGCCCTGAGCCATCACTCAGATGGCTCCGTGAGCCTCTCTGCACACCTGCAGCCACCCCCGGTCACCACCGGGCAGCATGGGGCACGCTATGCCTGTCGTGTCCACCACCCCAGCCTGCCCGCCTTGGGGCGCAGCGCCGAGGTAACCCTGCAGGTAGCTGGTAAGAGCCTGAAATATGGAGAAACGGGGAGGGGTGTGGGAAGAGGTGCCTGGGAATTTCAGACTCATTCTTGCCCCTTCTGCCTGCCAGGTCTCTCTGGGCCCTCTCTGGAGGATGGCGTAGGCCTCTTCCTGTCTGCCTTTCTCCTCCTTGGGCTCATCAACGTGCTGGGCTGGGCCGGTGAGTGTAAGTCCCACCCAGGCTGGGACCCTTGACTGGCAGACATTCTCTTCCTCCTCCCAGAAGAAGTCTGACACCCATCCCTCTGCCCTTCTACTGCCCCATCCCATCCCTTCTAAATTTCTCTCCACAGCTGCCTACCTGGCAACTTCCAAGGATTCAATGGAAAAGGTAATGACACTCTACCTTCCTTTATTTTTCCCTTCTCATTTTATCCCCTCTGCCCAACTCCTCACCCAGGAGGGAGGCTACTGGCTTGGTGGGCAGAACCCAGACTTGGAATTCACACAGACCTGCATTAAATCCTGCCATCTCAAACATGCTACACCTCAGTTTCCTTGGGTGTAGGGGGAAAAAACTGCTTAGGCAGTGCTGTCCAATAGAATTATAATGCAAACCACATACGTAAATTTAAATATATAATCTGGGGACTGCATTAAAATGGTAAAGAGATATCTAATATATCCAAAATATTATCGTGGCAACATGTAATCAGTATAAGAAATTATAGTGTTTTTTCCATTCTAAGTCCTCAAAAACAGGAGTTTATTTTAAACTGGCAGCACACCTGAATTTGGACTAGCCACATTTCAAATGCTCAACAGACACAAGTGGGTGGTGGCTACCCTACCGGCCAGCAGAGCCTCAGAGGGCTCTTGGAATGATTAAAAGAGAAAGGGCATCTCCTCTGGAAGATGCAGGAGCAAAAGCACTTGGCACAGTGCCAGGCTTAAAACACATAGAAAATGTTAGCCTCTTTCATCTGCCATCCTCTCTACCCATGATGTTCATTTGTCTCTGGATTGACCATGAGCACTTCACCCTGCCCCGAATTCCTCACCTCCTTTTTACTTCTCTTCCAGAAAACACAGTGAGGCCAACTCACCACCATCCTGGGGAAGCCACCATCATCTCTGGTCTGAGCCACTGTAGTAACTCCCCCAAATTGTATACCCTTGGTTCCTGCCCCCCTCCAGTCTCTCTCCAGTGAGCAGCTGCTTTCTGAAAAGACAAAAGACATTCACCTTCTTAGGGCTCTAGAGCAGCAGTTCTCAAAATTTTTGTTCTCAGGACCTCTTAAAAATTATCAAGGACCCTACAGAGCTTTTGCTTATGTGGGTTATAAACTATAGATATTTATTGTACTAGAACTTAAAACTGAGAACAATTTAATACACAGGAAGACACAAGCACACGTTCCATTAGCTGTGGGGACGATGTCAATACACGTCATGTAGCTTCAGGAAAACACTGTACGTTTTTTAGAGAACGAGAATGAAAAGGCAAATAACAGTTTGGGATTGTTATGAAAATAGCCCAAACTTCGCATACCCCCTGAAATAGTCTCAGGACAGTTTCTGTCTAGGACAGAAACGGGTGCTCTAGAGGCAAAATCCATTCTTGTCCTGGCTTGTGTATCCCTGCGCTCCAGCCACTGCTTACCTCTTCAAGCCCTCCTCGTGCTCTCTCCGGCCCTCTTCTCAATGCTTATCAGACCTACGGCTGATCCTTTTCTTCAATAGCCTCCCACCCTCCCTGGGTCCCAGAGCGCTGTTCCCTCTGCCTGGTCCACCCTTGCCCTTCCTGGGCTGCAGACCAGGTCAGCCTTGTCATTCCCTCAGATCGCCGCGTGTCCCTCTTGTGCGGTTCACCACGGTTGTATTTAAGTGATTGTGCGAGTCGTTGTTAAATGCTTGTCTCCCTGCCCGGACTGTCGTCTCCTCGAAGGCGAGGATGAGCCTGTCCGTCCCCTGGTGTATCCCCCGCGCCGGCACAGGGCCTGGCGCCCGCTGGAGGGCGCTCAATATAAGAAGTTAGTCTTTTTGCGTCCTAAGAATTCAAAAGCGGGTGTTGGATCAAATAACTTGGAGGAAGGAAGCAGCGGCTCGGCTTAGGGACCTCCGAAGGTCAGGACGGTCGGCCAGACTGACGCGGGGAGCGGGTTTAATCGTATGGGAATAAACTTGTTCAGTGCTTCCAACGGGTGCCTCAGTTCTTCCCCAGAGATCCCCTTTCCAAGCGCAAGAACACTTCCAATCACGCGTGGTTCCTTCCAACGACCCCGCCTCTCAAATGCCTCGGCTGCACCCAATCCCCCTTCGGAACTGATTGGGGTCGGGCGCCACTAATGGCGGACAGGACGCCCTCAAGCAGCCGGCCCTAGAGGGGTGACCGTACGTGAACCGAGATCCTGGCCCTGGCGTCGGAAACCTCCGAGCGCCGAGTCCCTAACCGGAAGTGGCGGCTTCCTGCTCCGCCCCCTTCCGAGGGGGCGGAAACCCAGGGCTCTCAGGAAAAGCCGGCGTGGATTTCGGCCCGCTACACGCGCGGGTGGGGGTGGGAGTGGAACCCCGTGGGCTGGAGTAACTGTGTCCGTCCCCGCCTAAAACGCTTCCCGCGGGAGTTTTAGCCTAGTGGTTGTGTTGGGGGAGAGGAATGTCAAATTTGGCTCCTGCCCTTCCCCGGGGGCTGGAGACTGAAATCTTTATATCAGTTCAGTGCGGGGCGACTTGGATCCCGAGTCCGGGGGACCCGAGGACAGCGGAGCTGGAGACCCGGGCTCCTGGGTCCCGGCCCTTGAGTGTCCAGCGCTCCTCTCGTCCGCGGCCCTGGCTCCTGTCCTCACTTCCTTCCCTTTTTGGCTCCTGCTCGCGGAGCGGGCGGACGTGGGGGGAGCGGAAAGGGCGGGAGGGCCCGGGAGTCTGGCGAGGGGGTGGGGTACAAGGGGGTGCGGAAAAGCCAGGGAAGGGACTCGGTCCGGGAACTTGATCAGGGGCCGGAGACCTACGGGAACAGCGGCCCGGGACCCGCGCTGCCCCCACCCCTCCTGAGCAGGTCAGAGCCAGAGCACCCTGTGACCCTGCCCGTTCCCGTACTCGTGACCCCCTCATCCCCAAAATGCAAGGCCCCCCATATTCCACCCCTGTATCCCTCCTTCCCCCCCGCCCAGCCTCCCTGCAGGACTCCCATCCGGTTACCTAGAACCCACCGGCTTACCTCCCCTCCGGATCCCCCGCGCCCACCTGACTCTCCACCTGCCGCCCACCTGACTCTCCACCTGCCCACCTCCTGTCTCTCCCCAGGCGCCCCCATGGCCCGACCCCGCTGATTCCTTCACTCGGCCATGCTCCCGCGGCACCTGCGGCTGTTTTGGGACACGAGCCCCCCCGGGGGAGTCGTGCTGAGCAGCTTCCGGAGTCGAGACCCCGAAGAGGGTGGGGGCCCAGGTGGCCGGGGCGTGGGCGGGGGGCAGGAGGAGGAGGAGGAGGAGGAGGAGGAAGACGACGAGGTGAGACGCGGGAGGTGGGAGGTAGGGGGCGTGTATATTTCTGAGACTCTCCACCTTTTGGTGTCTGTGTCCCTTCATCTCTTCCTGCCTCAGCTACTTCCGCGCCTCTCGCTGGTGTCTGCCTATCTCCCCGCTGCGGGGAGTCCCGGCGTTTCTGTGGTTCTGTGCCGCAGTGTGACTCAGGACCTGCCCGCAGGAACGTGCCCTGTTCCTGCCAGGAGCGTCTGGCTGGCTGTCCTGCGGGTCTCTGGCCCTCTCCGCCTGTGCCCGAGTGTGCCCGTCTTTCTGGGCTTGGTGTCTAGGTCCCTGTCTCCCTCCCTGTTTTTGTTTGGCGGGGAGGGGTTTGTTTCCACAGTAACCCGCTCCTCTGATTCCGGGATTGGGGAGGGAACCCTTTGACTTCGTGACCCCTCCCCCCTCTCCTGCCGGGCTCTGGGTGGAGGCGCGAAGCCAAGGTTCTTGGACCTTGGAGGGACCATCCCGGGCTGAGTGGCGGGTGGTCACCTGCTTTTCTCCGGGACTAATGGCGGTGGCCAGGAGTATGACTGGGGCCTCGGGAGGCGCCAAAAGTTGGATTTGAGGCCCCGAGGCTTTGGACTCCTGAGTCCAGAGTCTGGGTGAGGGCTGGGTGACTAGCAGGGCTGGTTTTTCGGGATCGGTTGGGGGAGGGGCTGGGTCACATGACACTCTGAGTCTTTCCCCCACATCATCCCCACTTCCCCTTCTCCTTCCTGTACTGGGATCAGAGCCGCCACCTCGAGGGGGGTCTCCAGGGCTGAGGGACCCGGGGAAAGGGGGCTAAGGGGAAGGACTAACTCTTCGGGCTCGGTCAGTTCCTGCGGGGGAGGGCGGAGCATGCGGCTGTGCCTGTGACTGAGGTTTCAGCTTCTCAAGGTCTCTGCCTCAGGCTTTCTGCCTCTCTCGCTTCCCGCCTCCTACCCTTTGCACCTTGATTCTCCGCTGTTCTGGGATTCAGCTCTGGGGGGAAGGGGCTACAGCGGTCTCCAGGACCAGGGTTCCTGCATTCCATCCAGCCCCCCACGGCAACCCCCTAGACTCCACCGGGCCTTGAGGCGGCTTGCGGGGGGCTGTCTGGGCCCCAGTGGGGGAGACCTGGGGTCACCAGTCCCCCCCACCCCTCGTACTCGCTGGTACTGTCCCCCGCCGCAACAGGTGAGGGGTACAGAGGGAGGAGTAGGGCCTGGGGCTGAGGGTTGGGCAGTGGGGTATGGTGGGGAACTGTCTGACCTCCCCTTCCTTGCTCCTCCAGGCCCCTGTGTCTGTCTGGGACGAGGAGGAGGATGGTGCCACCTTTACTGTCACAAGTCGCCAGTATCGGCCTGTTGATCCCTTGGTGAGATCATAACTTTGACTTCACACCTCTGACCCTCCACCTCCCAGTTCCCCTTCCTCCGGCCAACTTTCTGGCCAGAGTGCCAGGTTGGAAGTTTGCAGACCGGACTCTGCTGTGTGACTTAGGTCAAATCTTCTGCCCTCTCTGAATCTTAATACAGTGAGCCTGGATCATCTCCTAGGTCTGGGATTTCCCCCAGATATCTAGGGGCAGAGTTGAAAAAAGGGTCAGTGACTGGCCCTCTGTCTCCCCCAGGCCCCGAGGCCTCCCCCGCGTTCCTCCCGGAGGCTCCGAGCTGGCACTCTGGAGGCCCTGGTCAGACACCTGCTGGACGCCCGGACATCAGGGACTGACGTGACCTTCACGGCAGCCTTCCTGGCTACTCACCGGGCCTTCACGTCCACGCCTGCCCTGCTAGGGCTTATGGCTGACAGGTCAGGGTCATAAGAGACCAAGGGTCATTGACATGTCTGGACTTTCTAAAGCCGGAATATCCCGCCCAAATAGTCAAAGCCACTAGCGTTTTGGAAAAAATGGACAGATAGAATCTCTTCTACTCCCCAGGCTGGAAGCCCTTGAATCTCATCCTACTGATGAGCTAGAGAGGACAAAAGGGTGAGTGACCCCCTGATTCTTAACCTCACAGTTCCCTCTGCCCAGGCTGCAGCCTGACATCTGACCCCTGGCGTATTCCACTTCTCCCAGGGTAGCCATCTCTGTACTGTCAACCTGGCTGGCCTCTCACCCTGAAGATTTTGGCTCTGAAGTCAAGGGTCAGATTGACCGGCTTGAGAGCTTCTTGCTTCGGACAGGGTATGCAGCAGGGGAGGGTGTTGGGGGGGGCGGCGCTGACCTCATCCGCAACCTCCGGTCCCGGGTGGACCCCCAGACCCCCGAACTTCCTAAGCCCCTGGCCCTCCCCGGCGATCCCCCTGCTGACCCCACGGATGTCCTGGTGTTCCTCGCTGACCACTTGGCCGAACAGCTGACCCTGCTAGATGCGGTGAGACCTTGACCTCTGACCCCCCTGCCCCCTGCCCCCTACTAACCTGTCCCTGACTCCAGATCCTTACCGTGCTTCCAGTCCTTCCTGATCCAGCTCCCAGTCTCCTCCGTCCACCCAGTTTTGACCTTGCCCCCTTTCCTCTTGATTGTTGCCCTTCAAACCCTGTGCCCCTCTGGTTCCTTGGCCACCTGAGATCCTCACACCCCCGATATTGGAAGGCTGACCTCACTTGACTACAAACTTTAACCTCTAACCTCCGCCCCACAGGAGCTATTTCTCAATTTGGTCCCCTCTCAGTGCCTGGGGGGCCTGTGGGGTCACAGAGACCGGCCAGGACATTCCCACCTCTGCCCATCTGTCCGGGCTACTGTCATACAGTTCAACAAGGTGGCAGGGGCAGTGGTCAGCTCTGTCCTGGGGGCTACCTCAACCGGAGAGGGGCCTGGGGAGGTGACCATACGGCCACTCCGTCCCCCCCAGAGGGCCCGACTGCTGGAGAAGTGGATCCGTGTGGCAGAGGTAAGAGAGAGGCTCGGCCCTACTGGGGACTGTGGTGTGGAAAGAGGCCCACAGCTGCGGCCCCCTCTTGTGAACCCCACAGGAGTGCCGTCTGCTCCGAAACTTCTCTTCAGTGTATGCTGTGGTGTCGGCCCTGCAATCCAGCCCCGTCCACAGGCTTCGGGCAGCCTGGGGGGAAGCAGCCAGGTGGGGAGGATGGGGCACTGGAGTCGGGTAAGGGCTGGGAGGGGGGCAGCTGAGCCAGGCCCCTCCTCAAGGCCACTGCCCCCTGCTCCCTAGGGACAGCCTCAGAGTCTTTTCCAGCCTCTGCCAGATTTTCTCGGAGGAGGATAATTATTCCCAGAGCCGGGAGCTCCTCCTGCAGGTGAGGCCTGTTCCCAGCATTCCCAGACATCCCCTCCACCCTCCCACCCCCACCCCCATGTCTCCTTGTTCTGTCACCACCAGGAGGTGAAGCTGCAGCCTTCTCTGGAGCCAAATTCCAAGAAGTCCCCGAGGTCTGGCTCCCGGGGTGGGGTGAGTGACTAGTTGGGGGTGGAAGCAGTCTGAGGGATGGAAGAGGAAGCACAGCAGCGTGAGGAGAATTCAACTTGTTCTCTGAGGCAATGGGATAGGAAAGTGCGGAGAGATGGAGGGCCCTTGGATCAGTGGCAGGGGTGACTGACTCTTACCTCTGATCTCAGGGTGTGGTCCCATACCTTGGCACCTTCTTGAAGGACCTTGTGATGCTGGACACAGCCTCCAAGGATGAGCTGGAGGTCAGTGGTGTATGTGTGTGCGCATTGCGATAATGGAATGAGTAGGCTTCAGGGTCAGACAGACCTCCTTCCAGAAGGGGCTGCAAGGCAGAAGCACCGCCAGGACTCTGTTACTTTGGCAAGTTTGCTTAACCTCCTTGTGCCTTAGTGATCTGTAAATGGGAAACTAGTGACGTATCTACATCAACCTTTTATTATGAGAGTTAAATGAATTAATGTTTGGCGAGTGCTCAGAACATGCCTGAGATGTAAGCATATATAGATAGTTTGCTAAATAAACCAATACTGGGATCTTGGGCAAGTTCCTTATATTTTCTGAGCTCTAATTTTCTCAACTGTAAAGTGGACACAATTTTGACCCATGATGTTCTATTTAAAGGGTAAGGTAGGGGGCTTAAGGCATGATGGATGAGAGGGGGAGGAGGGGGAGGGCCAGAGGAGTCAGAGAGGCCGAGTGAAGTGAGTGTTTGGGAGAGGGGATGTTCTCTCTGTGGCAGGGTTGGGACCCTCACCCCATCCCCTTTATCCTTGCAGAACGGATACATCAATTTTGACAAGCGGAGGAAGGTGAGGGGAGCAGTTGGGCTGGATGCTAGCTGTCCCTAGCTATATCCCAGGAAGGGGAGAGGAGGGCAGAGTCAGGGGTTCCTGAATTTTGGCCCCTGCAGTCTGTGGGCTCCTTCCTAGGAGTTTGCTGTCCTTTCTGAGCTGAGGCAGCTCCAGAACAAATGTCGTGGCTATGACCTCCGACCTGACCCCGATATCCACCGGTGGCTACAGGGGCTCCGGCCACTGACAGAGGCCCAGAGGTGACTGGCTGGGTGCGGTTGGGACTCCAGGGCTCAGGCTGGGCGTGGGGGTCAGTATGTCACGCACTGACCTCTGCCCATTGCCCCTATCCCCAGCCATCAAGTGTCCTGTGAGGTGGAGCCATCCAGTACCAGTGACTCTCCTGCCCCGCGGGTGCTTCGGCCAACGCTTGTCATCTCGCAGTGGACAGAGTGAGGGAGTCAGTGGTTGGCGGGTGGTCTCCTGGGAACTTGTCCTTCTCCCTCTGACCTTCCCAATGTCCTGCCATCCAGGGTGCTGGGTTCTGTTGGAGGTCCCACACCCCTTGTCTCCTGGGACTGGCCGAATGTGGGGGCAGAGGAGGTGCCTGCAACCCCCGCTCCACTGCTGACCCGGCTGGCCCAGGTGAGCTCCGCTCCTGACCTCTGACCTCAGCACTGACCCTGGCTTCGTGAATCCTTCTCCCTTGACCTCCCTGCCTTCGTGCCAGATCCCTGTGTCGTTTGTCCCCAGCACATGAAGTGGCCGTCTGTCTCATCTCTGGACTCCGCCCTGGAAAGCACTCCAGCCCTGCAGAGTCCCGCTGACCCCAGCCACCTCTCTCCCCCAGCTTCCTCCCCGAGGCCTTCTCGAGGTCACCGCCGCTCAGCCTCCTGTGGCTCCCCGCTCAGTGGGGGTGCAGAAGGGGCCTCCAGGGGGGCTGGATATGGGGGAGGGGGGCCTGGGCCAGGGGCCTCTGATTGCCGCATCATCCGAGTCCAGATGGAGCTGGGGGAAGACGGCAGTGTCTACAAGAGCATCTTGGTGAGGGAGCGGTGGGCTGGGAGGTGGGGTGAAGGATGGTGCCCCGAGGGACTAGAGATGGATGATGTCTTAGATGTCAACAGCCAAATGGGAGGATGATTTTACTTTTTTTTTTTTTTTTGCGGTACGCGGGCCTCTCACTGCTGCCTCTCCTGTTGCGGAGCACAGGCTCTGGACTCACAGGCTCAGCGGCCATGGCTCACGGGCCCAGCCGCTCCGCGGCATGTGGGATCCTCCCGGCCCGGGGCACGAACCCGTGTCCCCTGCATCGGCAGGCGGACTCTCAACCACTGCGCCACCAGGGAAGCCCTGATTTTACTTTTAATTGACCTTTGGTTTTAGCAACCATGTTTTCTTTTGAAGGTTACTTTGCATTAGCTGGTGCACCTTGAACTTTGGGTGGCCGTATTAGATTTTCAGAACCAATAGTGGTTTCCCCACAGGAAGCAGCCCAGCAACTATGTGGGCTGGTGGATGGAGTACAGGGAGCCACCATGTTGGGTTTCCTTCTTCGCTCGAAGGTTTGGGTGCGGGTAACCTTTGCTGGTTGGGATTACTGGCTAGGGTTGGAAAAATGGAAAGCACAGTTCATCATGGCCAACTGATTGCTCTTTTGGTCTGCTGTCCTGCCAGGTGACAAGCCAGGACAAGGCTCCAAGTGTCATCAGTCGTGTCCTTAAGAAAAACAATCGTGATTCTGCGGTGGCTTCAGAGTATGAGCTAGTGCAGCTGCTCTCAGGGGAGCGAGGTCAGAGGCTGGGAGGGCAGACAGACTCTGGAGAGTGCGTCCACATCCGGGGGGTTGTGCGGGGAACGACTGTGTTTGTGTTTGACACCTTTTCTGAACCTACAGAGCTGACCATCCCCCCCTCGGCTAACGTCTTCTATGCTATGGATGGAGCTTCACTCGATTTCCTCCTGCGGCAGCGGCGACGGCCCTCCACTGCTACACTGGGCCGCGCCAGTGGCCCTTCTGCCTCGGGAACTCCCCCAAGTGAGGGAGGAGGGGGTTCTTTTCCTAGGATCAAGGCCAAAGGGAGGAAGATTGCCCGAGCACTGTTCTGAGGAAGAAGCCCTGTTGGCTCCTAGAACTCATGGTGGCCGTGCCAGATGTGGGGAGCCATCCTGAATGGTGGCACTTGCCGCACTGAGAAAAAATCCAGAAGGATGGCCAACCACCCTGGGGCAGTGAAGCGCCACTGGTTTACCAGACAGCCGAGATCCAGCCCTATGGGAACTGGGAATCTTGGTACCCAAGACGGATACCTGTGTATAGCTTCCCACTTTCCATGAATGCAGCACACAGCTAGTGCTGGGAAAAGGATCCGTTTCTGATTCCTGGCCACATCCTAGCATGCTAAGGGCCAAGGAAAGGCCTGGAAGTAGGGGGAAAGGAAAAGCCTAGAGGCTCTGAGCCCCAGGGGAAGGGAATGGTAAGAAAAAGGTTCTAGTAGGAGTTCCTCTTTCTAGTCTGGGGGTTCCTGTCACTGTGACAACACTAATAAACCAAAACACTACCTGAACTCTACTCCCGTCCTTCCAGTGTGTACGAACTAGCTGCTTGGAGTGGGGGTGGGGAGTTGGCTGAAGGTAGACACCGTGGAAAAAGAGGGGCCCAATGTTCTCTATCCATGAAGAGCTGGAAGCAAGGACTTGGTGGAAACGGTTTCCTCAGAATGGTTTGTTTCTCCCCAGCAACCTCGCCATCCCTGGTCCCTTTATTTGCTCTTACATTTTTCTCCTCAGTTGCTACAAACCCATGTCAAGTACTAGCCATCCCAATTAAAGTGATCAGCATGAAGAACACCCCTGACTGAATTTGTAAGAAACAATTTTAGGACAAAGAAATGGAAGAACAACTTTGTGGACAATGTACAAACTGGGAGACCTTACAATATTACAATGCATTATGTGCTGGGGCTTGAAATCAGTTTAAGCTACACTCAAATTCTAAGAAAGAGACTAAAAAGAACTAATATGCCAGGGCTATTTTGAGGATGACAAGAAATCATAGCAAAGGAGGGTCACCATGTTTCATTCTGGGGTTAGAGAATTGTGAGTTCTTCAATAAACTCACTTACCCTGAAATTATTGTGTTGTAAACGCCCTTTTCATGTTTCCAACCAAGATAAAGAAGAGTTAAGGGTTCCACATACAGGCAAGAATTAGGTTTGAGACATTTCGGATTTTAGTCTCAAGAAAGAAGGGTTACTCTGCCACACAGAGATTCCAGTGCAAGGATCTGGACTTGAGAGAGTAATGCAGTTGATAAACATATAAGGTGGAAGGGACCAGGAGAATGGATGGAGACAATTATGACAGAAGCGACTGGTCAGAAAACGGCCAGGTATTTTCACATTTTATTAGCTACAGTATAGACCCTAGAGCTGCCTCATTTCCTCCCCTCCCCCGCCCCCAGGACAGGGTCAGACCTTCCCAGGAACCCCTGCTTTTGCTGCCTGGGCCCGCTGGAACTCCTGCTGCAGCTGAGCAAGGGTCTCTCTCTGTTGCTCTGACTGCCGCTCTAGGTCCCGGAGCTGGGATTCGTATCGCTTACTGAGGAAACGCAAAAAAGCAAGTAAGGAGAAATTAGTGAGACTTACCGTTGAGGGTGCTGAAGGCAAGGAGACTGGTGGAAAACTTGAGATCTAAGGGGAGGATGGAGGAGAGGAGTTACAAGGGAAGGGTTGGAGGAACTGGACAATTGGGGGCTACTCTGGAGAGCGACTCTACAATGGTTCCTCAACACCTTTTTCCCAACACGTCAGGTACATCACAGGGGGGTGGAATAAAGACTCACATCTCAGCCGTGATGTAGTCCAGCCTTTTCCCCACTGTGGCCCGAGCTTCCCCCAGCTCCTGTTTGACCAGCACGGGACCCAGAAGTTTAAAGACCACATTGGATCCATCCAGCAGGGCCAGTTCCTGATGGAGGGGTGGGACATATATGATCAGAATTACTGCCAGGACAGATCCCTCCTCACCCCACAAATCCCAGTCTCTCACCTCCTTCACGATATTATTTTCTGTTAGTTGTGCCTCTAGTTTCTGCCTCCCTGACATGGATTTACTCAAGTCTGGTGGGTGGGAGGAAAGACTTTATTAGAGACATCACATGCGCCCACCCGACCCCCAAAATCCTGATGAGAAATAGATGCAGTTGAGGAAGTAGGCCAAGGACGGGGCGGCGAGTCAGTGGATGGGAAGAGTATAGAGGTGGGGATGGAACCGCACGCTGGGGCCGGGAGTACGGGGGTGGGGTGGGGGCAGTGCAGAACACATGGTCTGGGTATGGCTTTGGGTTGTGAGGGAATTGGGGCGAGGCCACACCGACCCTGCTCTCTTACCCTTCTGTAGCTGTTGATATTTCTCCACTTCTCCCTGTAGCTTCTTCTGGATTAGCTCAGCCATGGCGGGGACGAAAGTCTGCGGGGAGCGGGAGGGGGGCGCTGGGTCTCACACTCTGGAAGGTACCCGAGCTCCCTTTTCTGGCCTGCGGAAATGACAGCCCTCCTGACAGGCAGCGTCTCGGAACACCGCAGTCTCTCCGGATCCGGAATATCTGCTTCACCCCTGCCCCAGGGGGTGGCGGGCGAAACAGCACCCCAAACCCCTCAGCCGAATCCCTGGCCCACTCACGTTCTCCCGTCAGTATTGGTAAACCCGGAAGTAAACAACGAATGCCGGGAAAAGACGGCGCCGGAAGCTTTCGTCTGATGCATGCCGGGAAATGTAGTTCTAACATGTTTAGTGAGCGGCTTTCCGCTGAAAAGACTGGATTTGGAAGGTTTTAGGCGAGATGGGGAAACCAAGCTGGAAAAAGAAACTGCACGGTTGCTTGGGTCCTGGCCCCGGACAGCCGCTCTTTCATTACTTTCATTGCACGGGAGGGCGGGGCCAAGGCCCGCTGAGGCCCTTAGTGGCGAGCGCGCCCTCAGTCAAGATGGCGCCTAGACGGCTTCAGACCTGGGGCGGTGCTGATTGGATAAGGGTCGGAGAACTTCCGGGAGTTCTCCATCCGATTGTGGGACAGCTGAGAGGAATTTGCACGTGTATCGTGGTTCGAGTGGCCTAGATGGAGACGGTCCCCAAGCTGGGCAATAATGTCCCGCCCAAGAAAGACAAACTTCAGGGCAAGAAGAAGGTAGAGACCTCCTTGGGGTGAAAGGAAGTTTTTAGCTGCGGGGTTGGAGGGGCGGGGCGAGGGACAGCGCACTATCGGGGATCCTGATCTGCCGGCAGAAACCGCGGCGATACTGGGAGGAAGAGACCACTCAGACCGCTGCCGGAGCCTCTCCAGGTCCACCTCGTAAACGGAAGAGGAATCGAGAGCTCCGCCCCCAGAAGCCAAAGAACACTCACAGCACAAAGAAGTCTCGGATCTCCAAGAAGCCCCAGGTCCCGAAGAAACCCTGGGAACGGAGGAGTCCAGGGCCTCAGCGGAGCTTGTCTGGGGTGAGCCTGGGACCTGATAGGGTGGCAAGGCAAGTCGCCTTGTGCTTGAGGGTACGAGGGTTGGGGTCAACCTGAGCCTGTTTCCTAATTGCCTCCTCCCTGCCCCAGGCCCAGGACCCATTTGCAGGCCCCGCCCCCGTCCCTGTGGCGGTGGTTCAGAAGTTCTGTCGCATTGACAAATCCAAAAAGGTGAGGACCAGTCGGGGAGTGGGGAGGGGTTGCAGGCAGGGAGCGTTTGGGTGAGTTGGATGGAGGTGGGGCCGGGTGGCTCTCCTGTG